TATGATGATTAACAGTATCAAAAGCTTTTGACAAGTCAATGAATATGCCTAGTGTGAATTGAGAATTCTTAAATGAATCGACAATACTGCGTGTTACTTGGAGAATAGCGTGTCCAGTAGAACTGTTTCTCTGAAAACCAAATTGATTTTTATAAAGGAGTTTATTATCAATAAGATAAGTGTAAATTCTATTATACATTATTCTTTCTAATATTTTTGAAAAGACCGGTAGAACTGAGATAGGACGATAGTTTGTTATGTTGGTATGGTCACCTGTTTTAAAGATTTGAGTTACTTTGGCTATTTTCAAACTATTTGGAAACGATCCTTGAGTAATAGATGCTTTTAAGACTTTGAAGAGGATATCTTTAATCTCATTAAAAGAGTCGATTACAATTATTCCATTTATATCATCAGGCCCTATTGCTTTATTCCTTTTTAATGATTTAAATGCAATTTCGAATTCATTATAAGTTAGATTTGAAAAATTTATAGTTGAATTTGGTGATGATATAAATTCATCAACAGAGTCGTTGTCTACATAAGGAATCTTGTTTGATAGGTTATGTCCTATTGACGAAAAAAAGTTATTGAATTCGGCTGCGATTTCATTTGAATCGGTAATTAACTTAATTTCAAATTTTATAGCATTTGGCATCGTATTTGTGTTTGTCTTATGTTTGCTAGTAGTTTCTTTCATTATTTGCCACACCCGCCTTGAATTATGCTTGTGTTTTATAAGCAAGTCAGAGTAGTAAATTTGTTTGGCTTTTTTTCGGAGTTTTTAAAATAGATTTTTGTAAACTGTGTAGTTATTTTTATGTTTGTCGGATTTATTTTTAAGATATTTAATATAGAGTTTTTGTTTTATTTTTGATGATTTTTTTATTCCTTTAGTTATCCAAGGACAAGATATGTCTTTGGCGTTAAGAACTATTTCTCGAATAGGAAAATTTGCTTCATATATTTTGTAAAATATATTAAAAAAAGATTTGTAGATGATATTTATTAAAAAATATATTCCATTGTGCTTTTACTTGCTTTAAAGCGAAAAAGTTAGACGTACACTTTATGAATATTCTTGATGCAGTGTTATAAGTTATAACATGTTTACAAGGAACTTAATTTTTATCATATGAGGCTAGGTTGAATATTATGCAATTAACGTCACTGGAAGAACGTAGACTACGTGGAGATCTGATTCAACAATATAAAATTCAGCATGGCCACGATAAAATAAATTGGGTCGCTAACGATTGTGGAAATGCATTGGAGGAGGGTCCATGTCTGCGACAACACAAATTCAAAATGAGGAAGCCTTTTAGCAGAAATACCTTCAGGTATCATTTTTTCCAAAATCGAGTTGTAAATGCGTGGAACAGCTTACCATCTGAAATAATAGAAGCTACTTCAATAAATAACTTCAAAAACAAACTAGACAGAGCTGGATTTTGCAGAAACTATTTGTTAAAACACAAACAAAAGACAAAATGAGCTGTTACAGTGCAATATCTTATGTTATTGCACTTCGCAACTGTTTAAAACAGTTGTTACAGTTATACCTTATTATTATTATTATTATATTTATATCCTCATTAAAGTTTATATAGCTCCAGTCTTGGTGTAAAAGTTGCTCTTTAAATAAATTTAAGTTATTGTTGCTATAAATTCGTTTTTTTAATGTTATTTTACCATTCGTATTTGTTTTGTGGTCAGCGCCTAAGCAGAAAAAAATTGGAAAGTGATCCGAAACATCAGTTTTTATAATACCTTTTTTGAGTGTAATATTGAAATAGTCATTGGTAAGAACGTTGTCAATTAAGGAGGATGAAGACTTTGTTATTCTAGTAGGTTTATTTATAATGGGTATTGTTCCCGTTTCAAATAAATGATTATAAAACTTTGTTATATATTTTTTTTCATTATACTGGAAGCAGTCAAGGTTGAAATCCCCCAGTATATAATTTTTTTTCTTTTCTTGGCTAGTTTTTTCTATTATATTATGAACTAGATAATTGCTTAGGTACTCAGTTCTTCCGGTTGGTGGCCGATTACAGCAGCTTAGTAAAATATTTTTAGATTTTTTATTTATTATTTCAACCGTTAAAATCTCAATATTATCATCAGAAACACTCATATCGCTTCGAGTATTATATGCAAGGTTTTCTTTTATGTAAAAAAGAACTCCTCCTCCACGCTTATTAACATTACGCTCTATGAAGACTGTATTAAAACCTGTAAGATGGAGATTAGCGTTTGATTTAAAATCTTCCTCTGTACAGAGGAAGATTCTTAAAAAAATTTTGAGAAAAAGAAGGTAAAAAATTTTAAAAAAAATTTTGATAAAAAGAAGTTTAAAAAAAAATTTTGATAACTTTTTTTTTAAACTTCTGATATTAATGTGGATTATAATAAAATAATCACGATTATCATTATTTTTAAATATGCTTTTAATTTTATCTGGATAAAAGTAAGAGCATTCGAATTTTGATCCATTAATCTCATTAAAATAATTAATATCTGGATGAGATTCATTGTCTAAATTAATCACTTTTTTCACGTTAAGTTAAGTCATACAAAATTTAAATTATTTAGGTTATACTAGGTAGGTTTCCTTCATAGACCTAAACAACTTTTTACTGCAGGAAAACCTTGATAACCCTAGTATTTTAAAAATTATATTCTGAGGTATGTATGCTTGCAAATTTCGTTGCTTAATTTTTATATATTTTAGAGAAAGGCTCAGCCGTTAGGGCGTTCAAAATATTTCACGTCTGTTAAATAAGTAACAGTAAAAATAAATTTTAATGTACTTGCAATCTTTGCAAGTAAGTTAATATTTCGGTTATTTCGGAAAAATTCTTCAGTTTTCTTTCAGGTATATCCTTCCCAGCGTAGTTTGTGTATGGGGCTTCCATGGATGCGAGCTTTCTTTATTATTTCATATTTGTAGATAAAATTATTTACTACTCCTACTTTTCTTTCTTTTTTTTTGTATATGGGTGTTGTTATCAGACTCTATTATTATTATTCAACTATATTAAACTTAGGGCTACGGTTTTAATTCCATTAATGTGAGAACTATTTGTACTTCATCTCCGAGGGAATAACTCCCAAAAAATTTATTGTTTTGCAATCATTATTGGTTTTCTAATGATATTTTTACAAATGATTGTCCAAAGGGAATTGCTTGTGTTGCAATTCTTAACGATTATCAAAAACAAATATTGCAAACAATTGTTTGAAAGAAAATTGACTGTGTAACCATTGCAACTTCTATTCGCGCTGATTTCTGATTCTATATTGAGCTGCGTTAGCTGTTCCATAGAGAAACGCCATAAGTAAGTGACTTAGGGTGGTTCTGAAATCAACAGTAATTCAAGCTCACAACCTAAGGCGTAATGAAAGCCAATGCAAATGTGATTTTTTAAGGAAACTTGTATACCCTTAGATAACACAATTTCGTACTTAACTCACTTTTGTCCAAAAATGACTGATGGTGTTTCTGAAATGACCCGTTCAGTTGAGATTTTGCGACCGTTGTTCACATAAGAGATCCTTAAAAGATCTTTCATGCTATGGTTGCAATCCGTTTTTATAATTGAATATAAAAACGAATTGCAACCGTTCACATCAGAGATCTTTATATTTAAAAGATCTCTCATGCGAGATCTTGATGAAGGATCTTAATATTTAAAACGGGTTCTTATAAAAACAAAATTTTGTAAATTTTTTATCTTTAAAATCTTTTATTTACTACGAGAAACTTTATGCAGGGTCAGATTTGCCTCTAGGCTTGATAGACTATATATATATTGCTTAGAGCGGCAAATCTCAGAAGATAGATCAAATGCTTTAGCTATTTAGTCAATTAATTTGAATTTTCATGCTATATTTTTCTATACAATGTTCTTATATCCGAAGATATTGTTGACTTAGCATAGGAACAGCCACAAATAGTCATTAAGACTAATCCGAAGTAGCGCCCGTTATTGATCAACATTTTTGCGTACCGAAGTACTACTCAAGCGCTGAGTTGGCGGTGGCAGGATTAGAACTCGTAGTTTATTCTCGTAAGATTATTCCGTAGTCCTTTCTTCACCTAATGCACTTTTACTTTGCATGTAGGGGCGGCAACTTTTTCATAGCCTATGGGCGGCATAATTGTAAATCCGCCTCTGACTTTATTAGATTTATTTTAGCGGTTCTTGATGACAAAACCTTGGTCTTTTACGAACACCCGCGTTCTTTAATTTCTTATTTACGATCTTCATTTATTATTTTATCAAGTTTATTATATATTTTATGACTAATTATTTTTAAAAATATAACAGAACAAAACAAATGTACAGAACTTTAAAAATGAACAGAACATAACAAAACTAAAAAAGTAACGAGGTTATTTCTTTTTTTTAATGCAGACTTAAAATCAAAAAAAATATCATTAAGGGAGCGGGGGTGATGTGCGCATCAAAGGGGTCTTTCATAAAGTATGTAGGAAAATATGGGGGAAAAGAGTTACATAACAACGTACAAATGCGTATAAAGGAGGGGGGGAGATGTTTAATACAGCGAGTATGTAAACTGTTTGACTATATCTTGTTCCATGTCTCTCCTAAAAATGGATTTTTTTTTTTTTTTTTTTAAACATTGAATTTCACGAGTGTTTAAAAAATAATTATTATGCTATGTAACAAAGAAATGTCGCGTTAACTAAAAAAAATTTTGTTTTTAATGTTTTGAAAAAATATGCGTTGGGGAAAGGAAGAGTGGTTAATTTTGTGTAAGTTCGCAGAGGGAAGGACGGGGTCGTTGAAATGGTTAAGGTGTCCTACGCAGTAAAACAGTGGTTTTACTGCGTAAGTTTATAGTACAAGGGTTTACCTTTACTCCAATTAAAAATAATGAATAAATTTTTATATAAAATAAATTTGCAAATTAGTAAACACCTTGTGCAATGATGCCTTACGTCTTGTTTTGTTAAAAAAAACGCTCTCAAATTGATTACAAAATAAATTACCATAAGTGTCATAAAGAAATTTCTGAATAACAAAATAATGACTCAAATAAATAATAAGTATACAATAACCTAATTATGCTTCAATTAAAATTATATTAAAAAAATATTTAAAAACAACTTTACAAAAGCTGTTGAGAAAAATAACTTAACTACAAAAATAACCAATGGACGATATACAGTAAAAGCAAAAAAAAGACAAACAAAATAACACTCCAGGATTCGCTTCGATCTAATTTTTTATCGCTTAATTCTTTAATCTAAAATATATATTAAAGTATGTAACAATAATCAATTAAAATAACACTAAAGTTGTAAACGCTAAGTCCATTCGTACATCCGGACATCCATTTTTGTATTTATTATTGTTTTTTTTTAAATCTAAATCAACAAACATACAACTTAATTCGAGTCATGACCCTCATGATAGTCATGTCGCTTTACTGAATCATCCTAGTTACGCAGTTTTAAATGAATTATATAAATATAAGGCATACTACGTCAGTCATGTCTAAGAACAAACTGAAAATAATTTTCTTTAGCATAAACATTTTTTTATAATTGGTAAAGCAAATAATTTAGTTAAAACTAAATAATTAATATATTTTAATTACATAACTAGAAATTTCACGCAATAGCGATCATCAGATCTAGCAACAACAAAAAGTAACGATAAAAAATTATATACAAAAAAATGCTTTGGAGTGTTTACATTTTTTACGGCGACACTTTGAACAGCATGACATTTGGTTCGTGTATTAAACAAATTTAATGGAAAAAAATCATAATTTTTGTGGGTATCCTCTTGATATGCATATTTAAAAAATATATAAACTTTTATTTTATGGGCGTTTCTTTGGTTGGTTTTAGCAGTCCGAAAATTAAAAAGTTTTAATTTATGCACATACGGATGGGGCAGGATATCAGGGGATGCGGAGTCCTTTTAGGACTCCGCATCCCTGATATATATATATATATATATATATATATATATATATATATATATATATATATATATATATATATATGTATATATATATATATATATATATATGTATATATATGTATATATATGTATATATATGTATATATATGTATATATATGTATATATATGTATATATATGTATATATATATATATATATATATATATATATATATATATATATATATATATATATATATATATATATATATATACATATATATATAATCAGTATTTTATGTTTTTCACTAACTCCCAACCTAATAGTGGTTGCTTGCAGTCTTGTTCGGAATGAATTAGTTTAAAAAAAAACGATGATATGAAAATTATCTTGAGCAGCAATTCTTGTTTCTAGATGAATTCACGTTTTAGTTTCCATACATTCAAAACCTGGCATTGATTTTGCTTAGTTTTTAAATTCATTAAAAATATCTCCCATTTTGCCTTAGATACTTTCTGACAATGCATCAAAGCATCAATTTGTTCTGACTGAGGAGCTTTTGATCAAAAACTATTTAAAATAATGATTCAATATGACTATGACGATAAATTCAAAAGTTCATATCTTAACTGCAACATATTCAGCTATATACTTGGATTCAATTTTTTTGAAAGGGATGTTTAGCAAACCCATTTAATGCTGTCAAAATTGCATCTGAAGATTTGAGAACTGCTTTAGCGTCATTCGCATGAACTTTTAATGCCTTAGTGATAATGATTTGAGTACTTTTTTGTTTCCTATGTGTTTTTTTTAAGACAGAAAATGAAAGCAATGTGTCGAATTTAAAAAATACGTATACATTAGTTGCATAATAGAATAAAATTTGACTTTAGGGATCGTCCATAAAGTACGTACGCTCGGAGAGGAAGAGGTCTGCAAATGGCGTTTCTGGGATAAGGGGGCAGTAGGTCAATTATAAAAGTATGGTGACACTAAATTTAAAAAAATATTATAAAATGTTGGGTTAGTAGGTTAAAAGCGTAGCTACTTTTAGGGAGGTAGAGAGTACTCAAAAAAGTGTACGGGAAATTGCGGGAAGGGGAAGGATGTTAGCGAAAAAAAAAGCGTATAAAGGAAAAGCATTGTGCATGTAAATGTAACTCAATTAAGATTGCTCCTCACACGTCAGAAATTTACCTTTTAGGTTTGATTTTGGAACACCCCGAATATTTTTCCAGATTCTATTTAAGAAACCTTTAGGTTACACAAAACTGTAAAAATTAAAATCCTGCAGGTGGCATATTTTTAGAAAAAGCATTTAAAGGGGCCTATGAAATTATCATGTTCAAGTGAAGAAACTTCCAGAAATGCTGCAAACCTTAAATTTTTACATACTAATACTAATATCAAATAATCATGTTCTGCCATTAAAAAAAAAATTATTTTGGGAACATAGAAAATACAACGAATTCGGGGCACCGACCCCAAATATGGCAAACAAAATAATTTGAAAAATTTTTTTGTACAATCTTATAGTAAATGAAATTTTATTCAAAGAAATCAAATTTAAAAAAAACAAAACATCATAGTTCAAAAGTTATGACCAAAAAACTCACCTAAGACAAAGCTGAATTGTTTGCTAAGAACTTTTCATCAATATCACCTCTTGATTCCACTAGTTGCGTTCTACCTGATATAACTTTCAAACAGGTTAATTGATTGCTTGGCATTCGTATCACTCCAGACTCTGCATCTAAAGTGATTTCCTGCTTAGACTCTTCTACAGCTTGTGGCCTGGATAACATATACCTGTTATAGTCTTACAGAAGTGTTCTCCGGAGCTGTCATCTATCCTTTCAAAACTATTAAACAAGTGCTTATCAGAGTCTTGTTTTCCAGCCTGCTGTAAAGCAGCATCTGTTATCTCTATTTTTTAAAACTCTGGAGAGCGATCTGATTCATCTAACTATCACCCCATTAGTCTTCTTCCTATAATAAGCAAGATTTTTGAATCTTTAATTAACAAACACTTAATCTCTCATCTTGAATCTAATAACTTACTTTCTGATCATCAATATGGATTTCAATCTTCTTGTTCTACGGCTGATTTGCTAACAGTAATAACCAATAGGTTTTATCGTGCATTAGATAAAGGTGGAGAGGTTAAGGCCATTGCTCTTGACATTTCCAAAGCGTTTGATAAAGTTTGGCATGCTGGTCTTCTCCATAAGCTTTCTTCTTATGGTGTATCTGGAAACATCTGTAAGATTATTGAATCCTTCCTTTCCAATCGTAGTATAAAAGTTGTCCTTGATGGACAGCACCCTTCTTATTATTCTGTAATCTACAGGGTTTAACCATTTATTCTTGCCACAATAAGAAGCCAACTCCCTCTGATTGCTTGGAGGGGGCATTTGAGCTTGAAAAAGATCTCACTTCTGCTACAGCATAGGGCTCACAGTGGCTGGTGAACTTTAATTTAGATAAAACTCAATTGTTGTTGCAATAATTTAGACGTTCCTATATTTATGAATAGTAATGTACTCGATGAGTCATCTACACTTCATCTTCTAGGATTAACTCTTACTTACCAATCTAAGATTACATCTCTTTATTGAGCTCGACACTTTTTAACTCTGAATTCTATTGTCTATGTCTATAAATCTCAAATCCGGCCTTGTATGGAATATTGTTGCCATATCTGGGGCAGATGTTCTAATAATGCCCTTTCTCTTTTAGACAAGGTGCAAAAACGCATTGTAAACATAGTTGGACCTGCTCTTGCAGCCAACCTTTAACCTTTGTCACACCGTCGTAATGCTGCTTCTCTTTCTCTTTTCTATAAATACTATGATGGGCACTGCTCTAAAGAGTTAGCATCTCTTGTGCCATCTACTAAAATTCATTCTCGTGTTACTCGTCATTTAATTAAGTCTCATCCTATTTCTGTTACTGTTCCTAAGTGCTCCAAAAACTATTATTTGTCTAGTTTTTTCCCTCGAACATAAGTTCTTTGGAATTCGCTTCCTTCATCTTACTTTTCTGATTCATATAACTTGCAATCCTTTAAGTCATCTGTCAATCGTATCTTGCTCTACAATCTTAATTTTTTCTTTTCCAGTAACTTCCAATAATAATTAGTGATTGCTTGCAGCCTCGTTGGAAGCAAAGATGTTTAAAAATATATATTTTAAGCTATGAAGGACTGACTTCGATGTTTTTAAGTAACGAATTATTAGTTTGCAAATACAAAGAAATACTATTAAATACTATTTGTTAAGTAAAAAAGTTGCGAATATAATTTACATTCCTTCAAATTTAAAATTTTAATCTAAAAATCATATTTTATTTTAAGTTTTTTAACTTAAAAACTAAATATGATAAGTTTAAACTTAAAAATTAAACTTTAAATTTGATATGATGAGAAGTTTAATCTAAAGTATAAAAAAATTGATTTGACAGTATGTTTTTTTATTGAATATATTTATATATATTCATACTTTACACCAAAAAATAGTACTGTATTTTTAATTATTTATAGTGTTGTTTTCTAACTATACTTAGAGTTTAAGAATATAAACAGTTAAATAATAATTAGTTAAATAGAAATTATGAATGAAGCACCTACAAGTCTATCTAAGATTATTTTGATAACAATGTAAATAATTCTTAATGATTAGATAAAATTTGAAAAAAAAACAAAAAAAAAACAAGAAAAACATCTGCTAAAAAAATTGACCCAACAATTAGTTAAAAATGGCATGCGAAAGCAAAACATCAAAACTTTACCCAGATAATAAAAAATCTAAAAAGTTTCAAAAACATCAACACAAAAAACACTTTTTGTTATTGACCTTCAATCAGCAAAAAATGTTATTGAGCCACCTTCAATCAGCAAAAAATGTTATGGCAATAAATATCAATCTAAATATGAGTACATGTTTTATAAATGGTACAGTTATAAAAACATCAAGGTTTTGAAAGATAATTTTAAATGAAAATATTTTAAGACCAATACAATCAATACTTAATTTGCTCAGCTGAATCTCTTGCTATGATATTTTTCAAACTAATTGTAAAAAAAAAAATCTATTGTATTCAAAAATACTATTCTTACAAAATTCTACACTTGAACTCCTTATATTTTATCAACATTAAATTTTCAATCTGTTGACAAGTTAAACAGTCATCATGGTTTCCATTGAGTATAAAGGATACGTTTTTATAAATTCTGTAAAGCTTTAAAATAGATATATCTAATTTATTAACAATATAGATATATAGATATAATACAGATATCTAATTTATTATCATATTATTTAAAGAAATTTTCTAAATAAACCTAATATCATATTCAACTGGTTAAACTTAAATATCAAATATGATATTTTAATAGAACATGTTTAATTGCGTGTTGTTTATGCAACATACACACATGTAAAGCATAAAAGTTTGTAAACATCTAAGTATCTCTTTTTGTAAAAATAATTTTTTATACTGTTTTATTATGATGTAATTTCTATAATCTGAAAAATAAGGTTTTATAGTTAAGTCAACTATATAATAGTTTAAAGTTAGGGAATAATTAACAATAATAAAATAGTAAAGTTAGATATCACTTTTTGTGAACTCTACCCATTTTGAAAATTCTCAACTTTTTTATCAAAATGTTTTATCATAAATCAAGATGTGTTTACATAAAATAAATTGCTGCTAAAATTAGTTAAAGCAACCATGTTTAAGTGACTCATAGTTACATATCAAACTGAAAGAGGCAATTTTTTCATTTTCAATTGACGAACAAGAAAAATCAAGACAATTCTCAATAGAGTAATATAAACTTATTTTTATGTCATGATGTTTTGAATTAGAGTTCTCTATAAGTCATTATTTTCAAAAAAGAAGTTGTCTCAAAACATAAACTAAAAATAAAATGTGTCAAAAGAACCTAATTCACCTTTAAAATTCTTACAAAAGCAACTATGTTTAAATTATCTGACTCTAATAAAACTCAAAGTATAAATAGATATAAAATAGATATAAAATATAGTATAAATAGATACAAAATAAAAAATAATCAAAAATAATCAAAACATACCAAAGAATCAAGCTTCAATGTAAAGGCATCAAATGAAAAATTTTTAATTACTCTATCATAGCCATTTTCACCCATGGTAGTAGTTATTTTATCACCATTGATAAATGTCATGAGTGAGCTAGCAAAGTGTTCAGGTTTTGGTTCGCACAAATAGCCAGTAACCTAATTGAAAAAATAAATTTTCCTAAATTATTAAAAAAAAAAATGGGTCTAAGAGGTGTTTAAGACAAATTAAATCAGTTAGCCCTAACCCACCCCAATTAAATAGCCAAGTTGACCTAGCTAAAATGTTTATTCACAACCACATAAGCCATTATGGATTTTTTAATGCATAATTTAAGTTCAAATGGAGAAAACTAATTTAAAATTGGTACCTGACAACTTTTGAGGGTGGTAAATCTTAAGATAAAATGAAAATAACTGTGAATAAAATAAAGTATTGGAATAAAATAAAATTATTAAAAAAAAAAAAAGATTTTCTGAAAAAAATAAAAATAAAACAAGATTCTCCAAATTTTGCAGTTTTCAGCCTAAATGATGTATCTTTGCTTGTTTGCATGCACACAATATACCAAAATATGAATTGGTGTAGAATGCAGTAGGTCTCAAAAAGTCTTGCTGAGAAATCATACAAATGATTGAAAATCTAAAGTGTGCATGATACCATAAGCAACAGTTGTCCTACATACTAGCTGCCTAAACTTTTACACAACAGCAAATAAACAAAATGATGATCTAGTAGATTTTAAACTGTGGACTACAACAAATAAAACTGAACTGTTAACAATGGAGCTTTCATTGAGCTTCTGTATTATTATATTAAATTCATGACTTGATTTTGATTTATCACAAAATCAAAATCAAGCCATATGAATTTAAAGAGACAATTAGTCTTGCTGAGGCGATTGTACTGGAAGATTTTGTAAAGAATGGTACTTTTATAGTAGAAGATACAGAGTTACCAATGGAACAGTTTTTCAATTTTAATTGTAATCTATTACATGAAAGAGAAACAAGAGACATAATCTTTCTGCAAAGTTTAAGATGATTTTGAACCATAATTTTGGATTAATCAATGAAGTTATGCATGAAGCAATCATACAAAATACAGAATACAAATCATACAAAATACAGAATAACAAAAAAACAGTAAACATTTTTACAATTATGTCACAATGCTAATAATTTTCATGTTAGTTGCATCTGGAATTTCTTTAAAACAAACCATGTTTCATGGCTTTAAGATTGCCATAATAATATCATTGCCATAAGATTGGACTATAAAAATGTTTGTTGCCACTGCTAGTTTACAGAGTCCAACCACTGATCAAATATAGTCTGCTGAAGCTATGTTCAAATACTGTCAAAGGCCAATCAGTAAAATTATGTTTGTTTACCTCATTGGTGAAAAAATCGAGTTGATATGAGACAAACTTGTTGATAGATTTTTTTAACCAATGCTTATTATTACGAAAAGTAGTTTTAATCAATTTACACCTCCTTTGATTATAAAGATAACAAGTAAATTCAAAAACAAATACACACACATACACACACACATACACACACACAACACACACATACACACACACACACACACATACACACACACATACACATACACACACAATAAAACATATATAGTATCAAGTAATTAACAATTAAGCATTTTCTAATTACAACTTTAATATACGCTTTCAGTTAAGCCTTTCCAAGCCATTATTTTCTCATTTATTTGTTGCAGGGCTTTTCAAAGATGCGTGATTTTATATATATATGTATGCAAAAACATAATTTTATATTTGTGGCGGGATAGCTCAGTTGGTTAGAGCGTCAAAGAAAAAGTTAAAAAGCCAGACTGTTGAACAATACATGTTCAAATCCCACGACCGCCAACTTAGCTCTTGAGTAATAATTCAGTACACAAAAATGTTGGTCAATATCGGCCGCTACTTTGGATTAGTCTTAATAACTATTTATGGCTGTTCCTATGCTAAGCCAACAATATCTTTGGATATAAGAACATTGTATAGAAAAATATAGCATAAAAACTCAAATAAAAAAAAAAAAAATAAAAAAAAAAATAAAAGCCAATGCTTGTATATGTTATTAAAGTAATTCTTTCTGATTTACCGTTTTATTTTATTAACATTCAGCTGTATGCTAGTGTGAAAAAACAAAAAAAGTTCAGAAAGATGGGGCTCTCAAACCACAGACATGCTAAACACATATTTGGATAAGTATAAAAACAATCATATACTTATATTAAAATAATCAATATACAATATTATAAGTATGAAAACAATCAATATACTTATTTAAAAAATTATTCATTTTCCATATAAAAAATAAACTTAATTAAAATTAACTAAATTAATTGACTTATTACAAAACTAATATTTGAATATTGTATTGTCATCAAGCAAGAGTATGCATGCAAAATTTGAAAAAATTCTATCATCAGGAAGTGACTCAAAAATTGATTACGAGATTTGATGCTCACAGATAAACAAACAAACAGAGACGACAAGTTAATAAAAGTCTTGGTAGAAAGGATATTTGATGATGGTGATGATGATTTTGCTTTAACATTTAGCTTTCTCAATAAACAGAAATGTTAAATTGTTTGAATTAAGTTTGTTATGGTATTGCATTACCAATTTTGCAATAATGGCTATTCCTAACTTAATAGTTTCTTAAATTGATTAAGAGAATGATGATTTCATGGTAAAGTTTATACATCCACATTATCAAAGTCAGTCAAACTATTGGCCGAATCAGGATTATAATTGCTGGATGCCTAAAATAAATATCATGTCTTGTTATAACAGTCAACATCTTCTGGATATCAGTACTATATAGTGATTTCGCCGGTTATCGGTTTCAAAAACCGGATAACAGTTCTCATCAATTTGCGGTTAACCGACTATTTGGTTAATTAGTGACGCTTTCTGAATACAGGATCTTTTAAATTTCAACGAATGTAGCATTTTAAACTAATTTTTTAAAAATTAATGTTAAAGTGTACATTTTCAAGACAGTTAGTGAATACAGTCCTATATTATATATTTATAACAAAACATGGAAAAAGATATATATATATATATATATATATTTTATATTATAATATAATATACCTTTTTAATTATTTAATTAAAAAAGGTAGGAATAATGTACAAGTATAGTTTAAATGTTTTAATATCAGCGGATGTTTTAAAATCATTCTTTCATATAAAAACATTTGATTTGGAAAAATAAGATGTTATGAAGTAAATTTTTTTAGCGTGTATTGTTATGCGGACATAGATGGAAACAGATAAACTTGAATGTTCTCAAAACAACTTGTTGCGTAAAGATAATATAAAGAATATTTACTAACACTAAAATACCGCCAAATCTACGAATAAACAAATTCTATTGATTCAAAAAATATGCTGAATAAGCGAATTAGAGTTCCAGAATATTCTGAAGAAACTTTCTTAAAAATGTATTGCTTAAGTTGTAAAAGTAATAAATAAATCTTTGAGATTTCTATTGTAAATTGTTTTAAGAATATATTATCAAACAAAACTGATTAAATTAACATTTAAATTAATAAAAGAAATATGTTATAATCTTTGATAAATTAACATTTGTCAAACAATAATGGTTATAATTACGATGTTACTTTCTATAAAATTTCGTAACATTTTTAAGTCGGTTTTTATTATTTGAAAATAGATATTTGATATTCAAACAAAACCCGGTTAACCGCAAAACCGGATAACTGGCGAAATCACTAGTACTATAATACTTTTCAAAAGCAGATAAAACTCTAACTGAACAAATTCTATCTCATATTTCCTTTATATAATTAAAATAACTACTGCTAAAAAAAAATAAAACATCAACTCAATATTTGCATAATAATTTTCACTTTTACTTTTTTAAATAAATTTGAACACTTTTTCAAAATTTGCGATTTTAAATTTAGAACTCTTTTTCAAAAAATTTCAGGGTTACACAACTCCAGAAATGAGTTCAGTGTAAATTATGGCAACAAAAAAAAAATTTGATTCACCATTTTAAAATCAAAAAAATCAAAGTAAAGATTTTTGAATGGAACTATATTTTATTTTTGGATCAAGCACCTTCAAAAATAGTCAGGTACCAATTTTCATGTTTTTTTCTTCCATTAGAATTATTCATGAAAAAGTAATAATATCGATAATCGAGAAAATGAGCCCAAATAGGAGATTTTTTGTATAAATTTCAAAATAGTATATCTTTGTTAAGCTTCAAGAGTCTGAAATATTAGAACCATATTTCATGTTAAAAAGTGGGAAAATCTGAGAGTTAGTAAAAGAGCAAACCATGGGGACATAATATATAACTTGTTCTTGAGTGTTTTAAAATAAATAATATATAACTTGTTCTTGAGTGTTTTAAAATAAATAATATATAACTTGTTCTTGAGTGTTTTAAAATAAATAAATGAAAAACATCAAAAATTATTTTCTTTCCTTTTTAAATTCTGTATTAACAAAAATGGCCAGGTACCAATTTTAAGCAACATTTTTTGACTAGAACTTAAACTTAAACCTATAAAAAATCTTGAATTGCAAACTTGGTTAAAAGTATAATTTAATTCTGTTGGCATTTTAGGCTGAATTTCTTTCTTAACTTTTGGAGTCAAAAGTTGACAGAACAGCAAAGAAATTGATAATCAATAAGTCAGCTGTCCTCCTTTTACATCGAATTACCCAGTCATTGAAGTTGAAAAAAAAAAGTAAATCTGGTAGTTGTTGGTTGGTCATTATAATTGTTATTATAATTAGTAGTTGTTGTCCACAGGGAGCCTAATTAGTATTACTTGTATTATTATAATACTATAAATTATTACAATACTTTAAAAAAATACTGCATAGGTTTCTATTTACTTATGTTTGCAAAAAACACTGTTGTTAAAAAATTACTACATAGATTTTTATTTATCTAGCAGGTCCACAAATTATTATGTATTTTCTGCATTAAATTTTAATTATCAAGTTACATTATTTGAAAATCAATTAAGCAAAGATTAAATACCTTATGTAGTACTGTTTCTTTTGGGCCACCACTGTTGCATGCAATTACAGGACACTTCATATACATAGCTTCAATAGGTACAATACCAAAATGTTCATTACTAGGAGTATAAATAAGACATGTGGCAGTCTGTAGCAGAGCAACCTTTTGTTCATCAGTTATGGAACACACAAATGTTATGTTTTCGCTCACCCCAGATGATACTGCAAGCTCGCGTAGTTCCAAATAATGCTCTTTGTTCTCAGTTACTCGCTCATCATAACCCCCTGTACCCCATTATTAAATGAACATTTCATTCATAAAAATTTTAACAACTTTAAAGTCTAAAAAAATAAAAAATTAACTTTTTTTACCAGCAATAATAAGATGCACCTTTTTCCAAGTTTTGAGCAGACACAACTTTTTTAATTCTTTAAGTGCATTAATACAAAGTGCAAGGTTTTTCTTGCGCTCATATCGGTTAATACTGAGAAAAATAAACTCTTTCCCTGGAGGTAAATAGGCCTCTATGAGTTCTTTTCGTTTTTGAGTGTCCATTTGTTTAAAGGATTCAAAATTTAAACTTGGATAGAGCACTTTAGGTTGAATGCTAAACAATGTTGTAAAAGAACGATGAAATGTTTCTGATGTGAAGTTACTGTTTACCAAAACTGTATCAGCAAGACCTAAATAATTATAATTTAAAAAAGAATAAAAACTTTAAAACCTCTTGTGAAAAAAACCATAAAGAATTTTTTAAACAAAAAAAAAAAAAAAAAAAAAAAAAAAAAAAAGTAAGCACCATGATTATTTTTTGCATTATTGCATTATTTTAGTTGACTTAATAAAATAAAAAAATAAATGAACCTGTAGTAAATTCCTCTAACCAATCAATAGGAAATCTATATAACTTTTTTATGAGTGTCTCTCGTTTTGTTAACAACATATCTGGATAATGGCAATAAAAAATTATACGAGCTTGTCGATTTAGTTTTAGTATCGGAATACATGCTGATATTTGGTCACAAATAAATATGTCAGGTTTATAATCAGAAAGAAATATTAGATACAAAGCAACTGTTATCATTCTAATGTAAGCCCAAAAGGCATAGAATCTTCCAAAGGTTTGCCTTGGTAACCAATCCGCAACAGCTTTAACTGAAAGTGTTCCATCTATTGTTTCATTAAAACAATGTTTCGAATCATGATGTGAAGTAAATATTTGCACAATATGACCTTGCTTTTTGAGTGCCAAAGCTGCATCACATACTAATCGCTCTGCACCACCTATTCCAAGATCGGGATGGATAAATGCAACAATTACCATAGTAACGGATAACTAAGTGTTAAAAGTTTTCTATTTCAAAAAAATCAATAACTCAATTCCAATTATAACAATTTTACTTGTTATCTTTAAACTATTTATTTGGTCATTACTACTTATCATTATTTCTTACTATTTCATAAGACATATTTTGAGAATATTATTGAACTATTTATCTATAAACTCCCAACTTTATTGCAGCTGAACTTAATGAAAATCTTTTTAATAAAGATAATAACAATTTTTTTGAACAGTTTATTAATATAGTTTTCTTTTTTTAATTTAGGGAAGGCTTTGATATTTTTTAGCAGACTGTTAAACATTTCAAGGTGCTGTCATACTCTCAAAAATATATTTGCACCAAACAATAAAGTTTGAAAACAAATATTTATAAAAAATGAAAAATTTGTATCTTTGTCACCTTGAAAATAATATGCAAGCAAAAATAACATGAAAATAGAAAAACAACAACAGTTGAAAAATACTCTTTGAAATTATTAGTTATAAATTTCATTTATATTTTAGTTGCAATTATAATGATTTTTAAAATAGCACACTATGTCTAAATCAAATAAAATA